GCCACTAAGCCCCACTGCCTGGGATGTGCAGGCAGGAGCTGTGGTCTGGCCCCTCCCGTGGCACCTTATCAGTGGCCAGAGCTCACTGCCTGGCTGTGACCACTGGTGGCTCAGAGCCACACTGTGTTGATCAGCAAGGATACCGGCCAGGGGCTGAGCAGGGGCCTCGGGAGGCACCAGGGCTGGAAACAGCAGGCCCAGGCCCAGGCCCAGGGCAGATCTAAACAGGCAGAGTCAGGTGGCTCTGGTGTCAGCTCCCAGCTGGTGACTCTGCCTCCCTCAGAAGATAGGAAACAAGGTTGACATCGATTTGCAGATTGTGGGTGGAGAAATCAACTGGTTGGTGGAGTATTAAAGAAATAGAATAAAAAGAATAAGCAGATCAGAAAATGGCAAGAGCACATTGCACAAAAGGTGTTTCCTGAAACTTCAATTGCCATTTAGGTGTGGCTAGGAATGTAAATGTCCTTCCTCCCTCCTTAGTTGTGGAGAAAATGCCAAGACCTGTATGATAGTCAGAGCTGTTAAGAACAATTGGAATAGGGCGGGGGATTTAGCTCAGTGACACCGTGCCTGCCTCTTAAGCCCAGAGTCTTGACCCACCCCCATCAAAAAAGAAAAGAAAAAAAATAACTGGAATTGTTGGCTTGATCTAAATTTTTCTTTTAAGAAAGGAGCACTGTCTCTGTTGCCAAGCTGACCCCAACTCCTGGGCTCAACTGATCCTCCTGCCTCAGCCTCCCAAATAGCTGGGCCTACAGGCATGTTGTGCGTGGCTCTTAAACAATTTTTTTAAAAACAGATTTACTCTATTATCTCGTGTTGAAAGCGTCCAGGTTTGCAAACAGAACAGTACAGAAATTGATTGCTTTTAAAAAGTTCCCTTTATTCCTGGTTCTCAGCTCCCAGCTCCCCTGCCCACCAGTGTAGGCCCCAGTCCTTTCGGAAAAGTTTTGATGCCTGTCTGTGCAATTGTCCTTTTTCCTCTTTTCATATCACAATATGCTTTATTTTCTGCAACTTGCTTTTTAAATGTGCATTTTTCTTGGCTTTTAAAAAACTTTGATTTTATTGAACTATAATTCACGCATCTTACAATCTGCCCACTTAAGATTGTAGCTTTCTCAGGCTGTTAGTGGTTTCACAATCATACAGCCAGCACCACAATCCATTTGAGAAAATTTTCATCACCTCATTTCTCCCCGGACGTCCTTCTACCCTCACCTGCAGCCCCAGACTCACTAATCTGCTTTCTTTCTTTTTTTTTCCTCTCATGGTACTAGGGATCGAACTCATGGCCTTGCGCTTGTGAGGCAGGCGCGGTGCTACTGAGCTCAATCCCCAGCCCTAATCTGCTTTTTGTTTCTATAAATTCCCTTCCCTGGGCATTTCCTATAAATTGAATCATGCAGGCTGGGGATTTGGTTCAGTGGTTCCACTGCCTTCTGAGAACAAGGGCCTGAGTTTGATCCCTGGCACCACAAAAAACAAAAAATCGAATCCTGTAATAGTTTTTGATAACTGTCTCTTTCATTGTGCATAATAGTTTGGGTTTTTTGTTTTGTTTTGTTTTGTGTTTTTTGTGGTACTGGGGATCAAACTCAGGACCTTGTGCTTATGAGGCAGGCGGTGGCATCACTGAGCTAAACCCCCAGCCCTTGTGTAATAGTTTTAAATTTAATTAGTGTTGAAGCATATATCAATACTTGAAAAAATATGTATTCCTAAGTAACATTCTATTATGTGAATGCACTACTTTTTTAAATCCATTCATCACTTGCTGGACATTTGGGTTGTTTTCCCCTATTTTTTTGGTATTGGGGTTTGAACTGAGGACCTTGCACTTGCAAGGCAGGCACAGTACCACTGAGCTAAATCCCTGGTCTAGTAGTTGTTTTCCCTTTTGACTGTTACACATAATGCTGCTGTGAGCACCTGTGTACAGGTTTCTGTGTGGGCATATGTCTTCATTTCTCTTGGGTATATACTGTACCTAGGAGTGGAATTGTTGGACCACATCATAACTTGGTATTTAAGTTGTTGAGAAATTGCCAAACTGTTTCCTAATGTAGTGGTACCATTTTATATTCCCACCAACAGTATATATGGGTTCCAATTTCTCCACATCCTTGCCAACCCTTTTTTTGGTACCAGTGTTTGAACTCAGGACCTTGTGCTTTCGAGGCAGGCAGTGGCACCACTGAGCTAAATCCCCGGCCCCTTGCCAGCCCATTTTTGAAATGTATATCCATCCAAGTGAGTGTGACTTTGACTTGTATTTCCCTAATGCCTAATGGTGTTGAGCATCTTCTCATGGGCTTATTGGCCACTGGGTTGTCTTTTTGTTGTTGACCTGTAAGAGTTCTTTGTAGAGTCCTTTATCAGATATATTATTTGCAAAATTTGCCTTCCTTTCTACAGGTTTTCTCTGCACTTTTTTTTTTTTTTTTAGGTACTAGGGATTGAACTCAGAGCTTCATGCATTCTGGTCAAGGGCTCTTCCACTACATTCCCATCCCTTTTTATTTTCGTATTTTGAGACAGGGTGTCCACTAAATTGTCCAGGTTGGCCTTGAATTTGGCCTTCTGCTTTGGCCATCCAAGTAGCTGGGATTACAGGTATGTACCAGAGCCAAGCATCTCTTCACTTTCTTAATGATGTCCTTTGAAACACAAAATCTTTTTACTGGGTATGGTGGCACACACCTGTAATCCCAGCACTCAGGAGGCTGAGGCAGGAGGATCACTGTAAGTTCAAGGCAAGCCTGGGCTGCATAGTGAAACTGTCTAAAAAAAACAACAAACAGCAAACAAACAAATAAACATGAAACACAAAAATCTTTTTTTTTTTTTTTTTTTTTTTAGTTCAGGTTATCTTTTTTTGTTTTTTTTTTTTTTGAGACAGGTCTTGCTATATAGTTCAGGCTGGCCTTGAAGTCACTGTGGAACCCAGGCTGACCTTGAACTCATAGCAATCCTCCTGCCTCAGCCTCCTGAGTGCAGGGATTGCAGGCATATTCCCACGGCAGGGCCTTTGTACTTGTTCCTTGTGCCTAAAACAACCTTCCTATAGCAGGTTGTTCTTTACTGCCAGAATCCTAGCTCCAAAGTCACCTTTTCAGAAAAATCCTTCCCCAAATCCTTGAACCATTTCTTCAAATGTATACCCTAGCACATTACCCTCTTTTATTTTCTTAACGATGATTTTTTTCAGATTATAAAAACGTAGGGCTGGGGATTTAGCTCAGCGGTTCTGTGGCCTGCCTTGCAAGTGCAGGTACCCGAGTTCAATCCCCAGTACCCAAAAAAAACACAGATTATAAAAACTTCTTTAATCAAGGCTTTAACAGTGAACAGATTTATCAAATCAAATAAAGTTTCTAATACATTGAAACGCAGATCCATAAATCACCATACACAGAACCCAGCAAGAAAACACAAAGCAGCAAGTTTGTGCAATCCTGTAAAAGCCACGGTCTGCATCTCAGATGCTTCTTCAGCCTGTTAGGTGTGTCCTGTTGAAACAGCACCCTGTGGCTCTGGGGTCATGCTGAGCTGAGGCTGTGCCCACGGGGACTTGTGGGGCAGGCTGCGGTGGCGGTGCTGGTACTCGGGAAGCAAGGCAGTCGCCAGCGCTCATTCAGTGTATGGAGCATCCTTTAAATATCAGAGTAGAAATGAGAAGGCAACACAATCGTATTGTCAGAAGGATGTTAGCAGGAAGGACAGCCGTGTAAGCTTGAGGCTGAAGAGCAGCTCGCCAGCTTCATTTGTTTGGCTTCTTGGGTAGCGGCTGTCAGAACAGTAAGATGTGAAGTTCATGTTCATGGATCGCATAATGGACCCATCCCTGACTTTCTGAACACCAGGATTCCTCCATTCAGATTCAGACATGAAGCGCGTTTTAGGGATGAGCTTGGCTATATCCTTGGGCAACATGACATGCCTGTATTCAAACTTGTATTTGTCCGAATGATAAATTTGCTTGTGCAACATGTTCGCGCTGCCTGTGGGCCGCCAGCCTCCCTCTTAACAGTAATGTTTGCCAGCTGAAATCATCCTGTTTACTTTTTATTGTCCCTCTGTGCCCTTTGAGTGCCTCAAAGGTGCTCAGTATATTTCTTGGAATGGATGAGCGCCCCAAGAGTGTCCTGTACAACATGGTAAATTACAGTGTGGTTCTGTATGACAGTCCCAAATGTCTGTCAGTGGAAGCCATTGTATAAATTACAGTATTTCTTTGTATACCATTGTTGCAGAATTTCAAGAGATGGGAGAGGCCACAGGGGGGTCAGGTATGCATACCGGCTCAGCGGACTCTGTCCAAAATGACTGAGTGTTGAACAAAGAGAAGTTCCAGCTTTTATACGTTGTTTATCGAAGGAGGTGTTTTTCTTGTGGTCTAGCACCCCCTTATGATAAAATTTGATGCTGATGCTGATGTTCTTTGATAAAACTTGTTATAGAGCATCAGAGGGAGGAATGACTTAGAGACAAGTCCTTCCCAGCCTTGCACAGCCCCCCATGAACCCCCATCTCCTTGCCTGAGATGTGCACAGAACAGAAAGAAACCTTTGTGCCTAGAGAGCAGCCACGGCTGGAAGAGAGGTGGGCAGGGGGCCAGATTACTCAGTTCCTATAGCCTTTAAAAGGCATTTGGATTTTATTACAAATATGCAGGGAAGTTGCTGGAAGGCATTAAGTGAATGATTTGATCTAATTTATGTTCTAAGAAGATCACTGGTTGCTAAGGCAATGCTTAGGTTCCAAGTGCTAGAGTTCTTAGAAGTGGAATTACTGGGTTGATGACTGTGGATGTTTGAAATGTTCCTGGACGCAGCCAGCTGCCTCCCAAAAGACCGCTCTGGGTTTCACTCTGGGGATGCAGGCTCTTGGTGGTTGCCATTGACAGCCAGGCTCAGGTGCCCTGTGAGCTGTCATCCCCAGCCTCCCCCAGGGAAGAGCACCCACACTCTGGCTCTTGCTTCCCTTGCAGGACCTTCGCTGCTGCATTTGCCCTGTAACTCTGGCTGGACCACTCACCTGCTGGGTAAAACGGGCATCCCCAGAGCATGGCGGACGAGGACCTCATCTTCCCCATGGAAGGTGTGCATGGTGGCCCGGCCTCCTGGGATGGCCACCATGGTGACTCTGACACAGACAGTGACGAGGAAGAAGGCTGCTTTATCTGCCCCATCACTGATGACCCTAGGTCCAACCAGCCTGTCAGTTCCAGGGTCAGTAACTACAGCCACCTAGCGAAAAATGAGCAGTTTGGCTCCAGCGGGTCCCCGGCCAGCTCCTTCCACGTCAAGGTGAGTGAACCGTCTGTGGCACCTCCCCTACCTCGGTTTCCCTGCTCCAAAGCATGGCAAGTCGAGACCATTGGTTGGGGTCTTCCCTGTCTCCAAACCGTGGCCAGTGCAACAAAATTCTGGATCTGAGGATATACCTGTTAAGCTGGTAGATACCTGTTGGCTGAAATACGTTTTTTTTTTTTCTTTTGGTACCAGGGATCGAGATGAACTTTTGCTTGCAAGGCAGGCAGTGGAACCACTGAGCTAAATTCCCGGTCCTAAAATACGTTTTATCCTCTTTTTTTTTTTTTTTTTTTTTT